GGGCACAGGGAGGCCCTGCCCGGCCTCAGCTTCCAGGTGAACTGGCCTGGGACCCCTTCTGCTGAGTTCTCCGCCCCTCCTTTCCCACCCCCTCTCCTTCTCTGCTCTTCTTCACAGAGGGTTCCAGCTCAGCAAGCCCATATCTTTCTAAGTGAAATTCTGTGGCAGAAAAAAAAAACCTTGTTGGACAATCTGGACAAATCACTTGCACTTGTGCAAACATTAGACAAGATTTTCCTTCTCAATATTCCTAAAGTTTGACACAGCTTTGAGATGAAGCAAGTATTGGAAGGAGGAGTCTCGAAGTGTAAAAGTCTCTCCAAGAATCAGATATCAAGCTTACTCATTATGCATGAATAAATCTACAAAATAGGATTATATAAATGCCCTTGTGGAGAACACTATGGAACACCTTTAAAATATTAAGGACACCAAAATAATTAGAAGTTCATATCACAATCATGGAATAGAACTCTCAATTATGTAAAGAATTCAGATTTCTCAATAGTGACCTAGTGTTTCAATGTAACATGAAATCAGACACTTAGTCTTTTCTGAAAGCTGGTAAAGTAACACTCGATATTATATACAAGAACTGCTGATCAAGAGCAACCAAGAAACCCTTAAAGAAGAAAAAGTTACCATTTAGTAAAGCAACGAGTATTGTCCACTATATGAGAGTGCACAAAAGCAAATCATTAAATAGGACACAGAGAACACATAACTACTTGTGGACTTCTGATATATGACAGAGTTGACAATGAAAATCTGTGGGAAAATATGGACATTTGGATTTTGACTTAGTTACATGTTTATGAATATATATATATATATATATATCTCCTTTTTCAGTCATATTACAAAGTCAATTTCAGATGCATTACACACCCAGGTTTGAATGGAAGGATGCAGATACTTTTTCACGGTAATATTTCCTTGCCCCTTTAACTGATAGGACCTGTGACTTGCATTGGACAGTAAAATTTGCCACAAGCAGTGGTGAGTCAGTTCTGACCCTTGACATGAGGAGAATTTTTTCCCACTCACCGTCTTGGGGTCACACCACTGTGCTGAGATGAAGACCAGGTCGGGGGGCCACAGTCTAACCAACTGTATGTGAAAAACTATATGGAGCAGAGTGTAGGCTCCTCTGGCAAGAGCCAAATTCACCTGGTAAAGCAGGACTGCCCAGCTGCTCTGCGTTTAACTGCAAACATATGAGAGGCCCAGCGAAGAACAGAACAGCTTAGCTCAGTGCCGGCTTATTGCCAAACCACAGGGTCATGGGCTACACAAATGACCTTTGTAACAGACCCCATAACTGGGGAGAGATCACTGTACAGCTCTGGCTAACGGTATAATACTGGTCTCCTACACAAAAATCAAAAGATGCAGAAACCTAGCAAAAATGGACAAACTCTAATACCAGAATATCTCAAAGGCCGAAACTCCAGGAGATTAAAAGTATGAAAATAGCACTACATT